AGCCAAACAACGGTATAATGACAATAACAAAGACAATGGAAGTTGATAACAACGACAATTAAAGTAGATAAAGAAGACACAAATTTAACGTGGTTCGGTCAAAGTGACCTACGTCCACAAGCGGAGAGGAGCAATTTACTATAAGAATAAGAGTACAAAAGAGAGTACAAAATTAGAGTAAACACTCTAATTAATCCCAAATACCCTAAGAGAATAACCTCACAAGATCACTCCAAAGAAAGGGTTCACACAAGTGCTTCCCAACACTTAACTCTCATACAAAACACTCTTAATAAAGGAAGAAAGGAAGAAACAAGAAATGAAGACTCAAGTCTTGTTGGTGTGTCTAAAAAGAACTAATGGCCTTCCCTTTTATAGGCAAAAAAGTCTTGACCTCTTAGGTATAAAAGAAGAGATACAACTTGTGCAAATGATGTCCAACACACAATGCAATATTTTTGGGTCCCAAAGAATATTGCCAACAAAGTCTACACTTTGCAAAGATGCTTATGCTTATGTGAGATAGACTCCATTTGACAAAATAATGACCATATTGCAACAACAATAAACCTAGCGAAGTATTACAAGTGGGATATCGAAAGAATAGTATATATACAAACTTTATCTCTATCTTGTAAAAGTAAAAAAATTATTTTTAAATTCCAATAGACCCTCAGCTAAAGTTTTACTACAATTTGCTTAAAATTGGGATATACTTGCAAAGAAGGAAGAATAAAAGTGATTTTGTTTTCTTTTCTGTTCAAGTTTGATGGGTATTCGGTACATATGTTGGTGGGAGAAATCAAAATATGCACAAGTTAACACGAACACCACGATTATTGAAAAAATGATTCAACATATTAGAATGCGTGAGAGATTTTTATATCAATAAGTTGGGGCATAATAACCTTGGCAAAATTAATTTTGCTAAAAAAAAAAATCGACAATCCTTAATAAGAATCAGAGATTCATGTCTCTTGTGGTCCGGCCCTTCCCCGAACCCTACGCATAGCGGGAGCTTAGTGCACCAAGCTACCGTTTTTAGAGATTCATATTTCCATTTGGACAGAACAACGTTATTCTAATGTCATCAAGTGAAATTAGCACATAATATGGAATCTTATCCTTCTCTAACATATAGGGGTATACAAACCGAACCGGAAAATCGTACCAAACCGAAAAATCAAACCAAATCGATTAAAAAAATCCGATTAGGATTGGTTTGATTTGATTTGATTTGGTATCCAGTAAAAAAAATCCGAACCAAACCGACATATAAATATATAATTTTATAATATACTTTTAAGGCTTTTTATAGAATTTTCTTTTTTTAAAAAATCGATAGAAATATTTGCGATTCTCTTATGGGATAAATATGAAGTGCTCCACTTTTATTAATTTTAAATAATGGGTTGTATGTTTATTTCCTTATCAAGTGTTAATGAAATACATTAATCTCTTTATTCTTTTATATTCATATGTCAATATCTATTAAATTCTTATATCTTTTTCGAATTTGAAGTGGTCTTCGATAATTTAAAATTAAATAGAACATATCATTATTTAGGTATCATGTTGATTTTTATGTTTAATTATTAGATTCGGTTAACCTTGAAAGTGTACATCAACGAAAAATTATTGTCAGATGACTAAAAAACTATCATATATTACAAAGAAAATTCTCCCATAAGAATATTTTAATAGATCATATGTTTGTCAATTTTTTTAATTTTTACTAAACATATATTTACTTATCAAAAATTTAACAAATTAAGACTGAAATAATATTCATGTAACAAAAAAACCCCGAAAACCCGATAAAACCGAACCAATCTTAACCGATATAGTTGGTTTGATTTGATTTTGATAAAAACCCAACCGACCCGGTCCATGTATACCCCTACTTAACATAGTTGAACCCCAAGTTCAAGATGCTGCAAAACTCGACATATATTATTTTATACTTACGTTTGGTTGCAAAAGTCTTGTTCTAAAATGTCCCCAGGCAACCAAACATAATATTCTAAATTCTTTGTTTGAATCAACAAAATGATTTTCCAAACACCTTCTAATCAATTCTTGAAGATCATCCAGCTCCCTAATATGCAATTTGCGAACACGCTTGATTTGGAACAAGTTAACAGTTCATTAAACATCTCGGGATCTTCCACAACATGCTCGTGCTATTCAGGATCGTATAGTTATAAATTGTCAATACCATACAATAATAATAATATATCCTGTGAATTCTCATAAGTAGAGTCTGAGAAAGGTCGTACGTAGATCTTACCCCTACCTTGTGAAGGTAGGGAGATCATTTTCGTAAATTGTCAAGACCATAAGCGTGAAAAAACTAGCTAAAAAAACACATAAATTTGTGAAACATAAGAGGAAAAGACTAATAATTTCTCATGCTTAGTTAAAGCAAAATAAGGTTAATAAAGTGATCAAAATCAAAGTTTGCCCACCCTTTAAAAACATAGGTCTCCAAATCATTCAACAGAGCATTACACTAAGTGTTTCATGTGTCAAATCAACTTTCAACCAATTGAGAGGCAAGAAAAAATATTGAAATGGACCCTCAATATTAGGTAATTTGATGTGTTAAATCACAAACAAAAAGTAACCTATACTTGCGTCCAAAACATCATGTTAACAAAATTTGGTCTTGTGCCTATTCCTTTTTTTTTTCTTCCTAAAAAAATCCTTTAATCTCCACCTTCCACTTATCATCTCTCAAACTTCTATATATACTTTCACTCACTTGCATTTATTCTCAACTCTCTTTTCTTTCTTGGGTTCTTCTCTTCATCTCCACCATTGATAACACTCATTAATACCAAATATTTTAAGCAAATCTTAGAGTCAGTATCAATGGCATGCTTGGAACTCTCAAAAGAGGTTAGTACTCACAATCTAGGCATCTTATCTCTATTTTCTTTCTCAGCAGCTCGATACATAAAGTATCACACATTCATGTTTGGTCCGGGACGGGTTGCACTTTAAGGAGTGTAATATAAACGACCTACCCTAATGCAAGCATTAGCGACTGATTCCACAGCTCAAACCCGTGACCTATCAAGGAGACAACTTTGATGTTGCTCCAAGGCTCTCGCTCATTCTCTTAATAATTTTCATAAAGATTGTTAGTTATATATATCACCCAAAAAAAAAAAAAAAAAAAAAAAAAGATTTGCTCTTATTCCTAGTGCGTACCATTTACCATGATATAGGCGCACGTAATAGCTTCTTTTTTTCTAAGTTATCAATATTAATTTTAGGTGACCCGATAGTATATAGTTTTTTTTAATTATATCAAAGCTTGTTAAGCTAACTATATATCTTTATTTTAATTTATTTTTCTTTTTGGAACTTTATTATATATGATCATCAGGTGAAGTTGAAAGGGGAAGAAATGGATTGCACTAAGGATGGAACTATTGATCTTAATGGAAAGCCAGCAATCAGAGAAACAAGTGGGAAATGGGTGGCTGGAATTATGATTCTACGTAAGCTTTTATTCCTGAAATTAATCATATTAGAAAATTCTTAATATTTATCTTTGAAAAAAGAAAACGACATAAAGTACTATTAGTAATATCTGCATCTGCTTAATTTCTTTTATTAGTTCAATCATGGTATATACTAGAGCTACTCAAGTTATATTATTCTATACGTTCAGCATGTACAGTCATGAGAGTATAGAGTGTAAATGTGTAATTCGAATCTTATAGTATCAATTAAGTATATAAACTAGATCTATTTATATAATTCAAATCAATTCTTATCACTTGAAGTAACTTTTCCGATTGAGTTAGACCCAACTCTCTTAACATTTCTAACATGTAGTCTTTCCGGTTCATTTTTATGTGTTATTATTTGATTGAGTATGAAGTTTAAAAATAAAGAATTTTAAATTTTGTGATCTAAAAATAAAGTTATAAATATTTTTATTGGCTATAAATAAACTAAAATGAAAATTTTTAAATTAATTTTCTTTTAAATATAAAAAATTATTATTCCTTTTTAGACAGATTAAACAAGGAAAATTTACTATTACATAAATAACAAGTAATATTTACTTCACTGATTTTAACCGACGTAGAGCTTTTTCTGTTGGTGGGAGAAAAACAAAGAAAAAGAAAGGTTGATAAGGTGAGGTAATAAATAAAGACAGCTATCATATATGTTGGAAAGGGAAAATGACAAGAGGTTGAAAAAGCCAAAGCCTAATACTTTACAGTAAAACTAAAATGACAAGAGGTTGAAAAAGCCAAAGCCTAATACTTTACAGTAAAACTAAAATGACAAGAGGTTGAAAAAGCCAAAGCCTAATACTTTACAGTAAAACTAAAATGACAAGAGGTTGAAAAAGCCAAAGCCTAATACTTTACAGTAAAACTAACCAAAACGTGTGTCAAAAGACCAGGTCTTATTGCTAGGCACTATTTGACAGCTTTCAAATACATAGATACCTAGGTTTTGGCATATCTAAGCTACGGTGTGAGGCAGAAACGAGATTGGATTTATAGTTTATGAGTTCTAAATTAATCACGTAATTTATAGTTCGTCTTAGTTATTGGATTTATAATTAAATATTTATAACTATTTAATAATTTTTCTATTACAAATATAATATTTAAACAAAAATGACTGAGTTCGGTTTAACCACACCTAATAGACTAGGTCAACCTCGGGTGTGGGGTGAAGGATCAGGGAGGAACTATAGTTACGTAAACGAATTCAAAAACTGTTAAAATTTTATTTTTGCACTAAATTTTTTATTAAATATGTTTAATATTTAATATAGAACACAGTAACTAAAATAAAAGTTCAACGGCGAGTAGCCTGATGTAAAAAGTATTTCGTAAGTCATGCAAGGTTCGAGAAAAAATCGCATCCAAATAATATGATATAGACAATCTAATATAATGCAAGTAGATGCTTTTACAATTCGAATTTGTGATTTATAGATCACACGAAAATAAGTTTCCTGTTAGTTTCGAGGCTCCCTCTTAGAGAGACCTCCTCGGATAGGGTGTTGTCTGTAATAGCCAAAATCCTGTGGAAGACAGAGGAAGGATAAGGAAGTGACAAGAAAACCATGCAGTTCTGGGAAAAGACATACCTAACATAAACCCATGATACGATGTTGTGGGACTGCCACGTCATCCTTGACAAAATTTTGATTCTTGAATAGTTGGGGAGGGGCTAATTATGGTGATATGGACTTTCACTTATCCCCAACTTTTTGCCTTGTGATGTAACCCTAAAGAAAAAAAAAATGATTGTGTAAGTTAGGTTACTGCTCCTTTTGACTATTATATATATATATATATATA